GAATATAAATATGGCTTATGTCTGTATTTTATTCTTACACATTTCATATCAATGGCCTGCTACTTTCCTTGTTTCTGAAGATGTCCCACAGACGAGATGCCCCTTATTATTATTTTAAATGCTCAGGCTTTCGTTTTGGTTAACCAGTTATACTTAGTTTCAACGTGTTATCATGAAATGTTGTTTTATTCTTCTTTTGCGCTCGATGTAGTTTTCAATTTACTTTTATCATTGATTATATGATTTCCCCTCTTATCTTATCTTGTTATTTGGACTACATTGGCTCATTCCGACCTATTTAAGTTTATCTAAGTTTTCTACCTGTGATATATCAAATATACACTTAGTGACAGTATATTTTTCCGAGAGCTTCTTCGACACATGTTAAACAATTTATATTAATTCCCCGAGCATTGGTGGAAGTTGAGTGTAATATATGCAGTTATATTTTTTGTTTTGGCGGCTTTTATCAGCCTAACATCAATTCACTCGTTATTTAATGAACTTCATTAACATATATACATTTTGCACATTGTTACATTGTGTGCTCTTAAATAAGTGTAATAACTGATTTTTATTTCGAAAAATAGTTGGATGGAAATTGTTTTTAAAAATTTGTATTTGTATTTTTAGTCACGTTTTATCTTATATCTATACAAATTCTATTTATGACTTAGCTCTAACATTACATAGAGCATTATTTTAACTTTAATATCAGGTTTGTCTATCTATTCATATGCTTTTCTAGTTGTTTTTATTCAAAGCTAATAGTTATTAGATATACACTAACTTTAGGCAATCACCAATCAACATTGTGATCCATTCTACTTTATAAATCTAAGGAAGTTAATTTTCTTTTTATGAATTGACCGAGCCCATGTCTTGTATTCACGAATCAAAAAAGTCCATTCCCTTGTTTTTTTAATTCTAGATGGGCTTGGACATAGAAGAACTGGAAGATGTGGAGTCTGATGCAGGACTTGGAAACGGAGGTCTTGGACGTCTCGCTTCCTGCTTCCTTGATTCTATGGCGACCCTTGGGTTGTCCGCTTATGGCTATGGCCTTCGTTATGACTACGGAATCTTCGAACAGACCATTAAAGATGGTTGGCAGGTGGGCTTTGTCTGCCTCTTGACCCCTCTTATTCATGCGTTTTTTTCTATATACTGGAGTGCTCATCCGTTTTACAAAATCTCATTGGGAAACAACCGATCACACCTAGTTACTTTGTATTCTCGTTCTCACTAGGCAAACTCCTAATCGATGTCAAGTTATTCCAAGGTCAATCCTTTTCACAACTGATCCATTCCGTCTGTTTATATCCGAATGCTGATAAATCTTCTCTGCATGTTTTTTCATAAAGGCGCTTTTACCTTTTGATCTTTTTGTTTTTATGCTTATTCTA